TTACATTTCTTCATGGATTGTCATCTCTACAACAATTACTTTCAGGTACTTTTGTTTACTATTACCTTTATCTTATTATTAACCAACTCAACTTCCATTTATTACTTTATTGTTGTAGACTGATAGAAAAATAATATTAAATAAACATTATTATTATTTAAATAATTAGTCAATTTTTCCTTTTCAGAATAAAATAAAACTGTAACTGCAGAAATAAAGATTAGAATAAAAAAAGGAAAAATGTTTCATGTGTGTGAAACAACTGCTTTAATGTGTGACTCCAACACAACTGATTTGAATTTAGAGCTTCTGTTGTAAACAATTTCCAGGGTTCAAGTTGGGTGGAGCCCAGGTTGACTCTGAGTAAGCTCAGGTTGAAGCTCAAGTTGAAGCTCAGGTTGAAGCTCAGGGTGGAGCTCAGGTTGACTCTGAGCAAGCTCAGGTTGAAGCTCAAGATTGCCATTACATACCTGTCAGTAGTGATTATAATAACGCACGAAAAATAAATTCGTTGAATTGTTATCAAATGCAAGTAAAATTCAACTTAGTTTCACCGTAAGCGAATTATTTCGGTCACATGTAAACGATCGATGTGACACAACTTCCGCTATGTAGTTTGAATGCACACGAGACATTACTTGACCGGGTAGGTCAAGTCGCTAATTAACCAATCAAAATGCTGGATGGTGCCCACGTGTTCAAATTACCTTAGTTCATTTAAATGTGTTAATGACAGGTCACCGACTTCATGGTGAACGAAACCCGGAAGCGATTTACCGATAATGTAGTTCGATCTTTTGGCTTTGATTTCCATGGGAAAACGACATGACTTTTTTTTTAAATCAAGAAATTAGTTATTTTCGAAAGATAAACTGAGCATTGAAAAAAAATTTAACAGTTTTTCGGTGAGCTCATTGTCGAAAACTTGCGACACATTGACGTATTCATAAGCAGTATTGACAAAAGTTGTCCAGGAACAAAAGCAGTTTCACTGCGTGTTTGACTTCCTAACACTACTGAACAATAAAAAGGTGTGAATATTTTTAGGCACGTTGTCGAAACAAATGAATAGGATTAGGAACAATGTACCAGCTGGTTGAAACAAAGTCGGTCACGGTCTTGTTGAATTGGGGGTGCGGTTAGTAATAAGTACTTTTCATGTTTTCAATTTTTGTTGTGAACTCTTTAACACTGAAGCCGAAATCGGGGATGCGGTTACTATTAGGTATGCGGTTTATAATAGGATTTTAACGGTAGTATAATTTGATGATTTTTTAACATTTTAACATCTGATCGTCGTCAAACAAGTACTTGTCCATATTGAGAATATTGCTTCGGAACAGCATTAATGAAAACAAAATGGCCACTGGTCGGCCATTTTGAAAACATCTGTAAATCTATGACATGATGTAAAATGAATATATAAAATTTTAACATAATTAGTCAGAACATGGCAGATATATGGCACTAGAACTGCAATCAGTAGAACAAAATGGCCGCCAGTCGAATGCACATAGGTCAATCCACAAGTCCCCGTTTTTGGACTGCGTCCGAACGGGGACTAATAAAATTAAACTGAACCTACCTTCGATGTCCTTCAATGTATATAGTTTGCGTCAATGCATTTGAACAAATAATCCAATCAGTGAGAGTTATTTTGTTCTTTTTCACATGAAAAAGAGGAAAGACTTTGTTCAGCAACAGAACAGAACATATGATGAATTGAAATTATCATTTTAAATTTTGAAAATTTGTCCTTACAAACTTCAACTAATGTCAGTGTTTTGTCATAAAATTGTTGACTAAATAATTATTTATTTTATCTGGATCTACCATAAATTCATCTAGCAACAAAATCTAGTATAGAATTATGTTTTGAGGTGTACACAGATAGTTGGAATATTATTATAGAATTAAAATATTGAAATATTAGGTGACTGTGCCTACTGTAGAATTCCCACTTTGCAAATCTGCGAGGTAACATTCCTGACCAGTATATACAACACCATTAAATGTTGAGATTGTGGATGAGTGATGAGAATTGTCTAAGAGATAAGACCCCCTAGCATGCTTAAAATGAAACGAGCAGGAAATAAGAATAGGATATTTACGTTTAATGAATCATATTTTTTAAATAAACATATCTGGAAGTAACATATCTGCAAAGTGGGAAGGTGACATTAAGGTATGATTGCTCACCTCGTTTGATATCTTAGCATACAGTTACAGCATGCTGCAATTAATAACGATACAGTAACAAACTGAAAATGTACCATGATGTACAGTATTCTCTGGTACACAAAACTTACCATTTGTGGAGGAGTGTCTACATCTGTATAATCTTCATATTTATTTGGTAAAATAGAAATCTTCATTTCTTTAACCCCAGGTCCTAAAATTAATTAATATTAGTGGTCTTATATGCAGCAAATTAATTAAATTTAATACAGTAAAATACCTTATTTTAGCTGGAAATTAATTTTTTGCTGAAAAGACTGGGTGTTTTGTATCAAATATATTTTTTACTGATTTTTGTTGAATTGAATGTAAAATATAGGTAAAAACAGATATTTGCTAGATTTTTTATCATGTGTTACATTCCAACCCCAGTATAGATGCATGTATAGAGCCATAGACATGTGTAACAATCCAATCCCAGTATAGATGCATGTATAGAACCATAGACATGTGTTACATTCCAACCACAGTATAGATGCATGTATAGAGCCATAGACATGTGTTACATTCCAACCCCAGTATAGATGCATGTATAGAGCCATAGACATGTGTAACAATCCAATCCCAGTATAGATGCATGTATAGAACCATAGACATGTGTTACATTCCAACCCCAG